CACAGTCTGTGTGTGTGCATGCTGTCACAGTCTGTGTGTGTGCATGCTGTCACAGTCTGTGTGTGTGCATGCTGTCACAGTCTGTGTGTGTGTGCATGCTGTCACAGTCTGTGTGTGTGCATGCTGCCACAGTCTGTGTGTGTGCATGCTGCCACAGTCTGTGTGTGTGCATGCTGCCACAGTCTGTGTGTGCATGCTGCCACAGTCTCTTATGTTCACATGCTCATCTGTCCTGTTATGTTTGGAAGATGCTGTTTCCTTGGAGTCATACACCTATCCATCACCTCTGGCTCTTACAACTTTTTAAATAACTTGAGGTAATAATATTAAAAAACATAGAGAGCATGCTGGGTGCAGTGGCTCATGCCTTTAATCCTTGCATTTGCAAGGCAGATGCAGGCATCTATGCAAGTTCCAGGCCAGCCTGGTCTACATAGCAAGTTCCAGGCCATCCAGGGCTGCATAGTGAAATCTTGTCTCAAACCAAACCAAACTAAACCAAACCTGCAAGAAGGCTGAGAGCAGAATTAGAGTTAAGGAGTGAGGATGGTTCAGCTGTTAAGAGCATTTCCTGCTCCTACAGAGGACCCTTGTCAGTTCCCCCGTCATTGCAGAGAACACCCACATCCGATGGCTCACAACTGCCAGTAACTCCAGTTCCAGGGGAAGACTTTGCCCTTTTCTGGACATGTAGGCACTGGTATGCACACAGTATACATATATACAGGGACTTACACACATACTTTAAGAAAACTAAATCATTAAAAATGTTAAACGTTCACTTACCAGTTCAACAAAAGCAAGTCCTCCATAGCTGTGAGCAACAAAAAACACATTCTCAGCAGCAGATTGGGCTATGAAATGATCCCAAACATAGATTGCATGTTCTTCAGGAGAACCATTTTCCTATAAAGAAAACAAATATATATTGCATATTGTATCTAGTGATTATCACAGTAATCAGTTAAATTAAATTATATGCTTGCATACATAGCATAAGAATAAGATGGTTAGAGAACATTCAAAGAAATAAAACAAAAGAACTCTACTGAATATTTAAATTAGAGAATAGATTAGTATTAAAACTATTAGTAGATTACTGCTAAGCTTAAATAAAAATGTAATCTTTATAAACAACTTATTAAAATAAGTGCATATTAAGGGAAACAATCCATGTATACCTGTGATATTAAGATCTACTTAAACATATTAGAATTATATAATAGAACATTATGGTGGGTTTTAATAAAATAATTTAATGCTATAATATTTAGGTTACATTCTTCTATATTATCATAAAGTACTTATATTATATATCTATATATTATTTATTTGTTTTATGAGATTTTAAACAGTAAACTGAAAAAATGGTATATTCTATTGACCTCATTTAAAGGAATACATGCTTTCTAACAGCATGTTCTATACATATTTTATTTCAAGAATCAAGAGAAATCTAAACACATAAATATAGGGGCTTTTAATCTAAGATTTTAAAGCCTGGCAAATATATCCTAAAACCTCTATAGTAACTTCATTTTACTATATTTATTGCATTAGCGTTAACCAGCCTGTGGCAGGCTGGTTAAAGAAAAAATCTAGATAATATGAAAATACTGATCAAATCATAAATTGCTAAGAGTCGATCAGACCATTAAAATGTGTGTGTATCTATTCTTAGAAAAGAATTTCCTAACAACATCATGGATATTGCAAATGAAGAGAATTTATTCGTAATTTCCATCTTTAAAAAGATATATATTTGGAGACACAATGCTCTTATATTCTTTCAGCCTTTTCTCCCACAGTAATTCTCTAAGCTATAGGAAGTTGTATAGGAACTGGGCTCCACAACTATGAATTTTGATTGGCTGTGGTTTTCTGTAATGGTCTCCATAAAGTTACACCAATGTGACTGTCTCATCAAGCGCTGAACAAGGACAACAGCAATAAATAAGCTGAAGAAAAGCCCACAAGGCCTCAATCCTACACAGAGAACTACAGGCAATGGAGGAATACTGAGAGCAGGAGAGATAACCTTCCCTGGGCAAGAGCTCATCTGTTGGTCTAATAGAGAACACAATGGCCAATAGCCAGACAGAAGAAAGGATAGGCAGGGCTGGCAGGCAGAGAGAATATAGAGAAGGAGAAATCTGGGAGAGGAGAAGGAAGTATCCAGAGAAGGAGGAAGATGCCAGGGGCCAGCCACCAAGTTACACAGCAAGCCATGGAGTAAGCGTAAGATTTACAGAAGTAAGAGAATGGGAAAAGCCCAGAGGGAAAATGTAGTAGAATATTATTTTAAGGTGTGTTACTTTTGTTTATGTTGCATTTCTTTAACTCTGTAAAGCTGTGTTTCTGTGCCTGTCTAAAACACCTGATGGTCTAATAAAGAGCTGAATAGCCAAGAAGAAGGCAGGAGAAAGGATAGGTGTGGCTTGCAGGCAGAGTATATATAGAAAAAGAAAACAGGATCTAGGATCTAGCAGCCAAAGAAGGAGGAAGACACCAGGGGCCAGTCACCCAGCTACACAACAAGCCATGGAGTAAGAATAAGATTTACAGAAGTAAGAGAATGGGAAAAGACCAGAGGCAAAAGATAGACAGGATAATTTAGAGTTAAGAAAAGCTGGCAAAAAACTAAGCCAAGCTAAGGATGGGCATTCATAAGTAAGAATAAGCCTCTGTGTGTGAATTATTTGGGAGATGGGTGGTGGGGCCCCCAAAAAGAGCAAAAACAACAACACTCACCAGTTGGCTACAACAGCAAATGTCAGTCATGAAAACATACATACAAGTAACATCATAGAGACTAAGCAGGTTGAATTCAGAAATTACACACACACACACATACACATTTATGTATATAACAACTATTAGTGAAAGAAGAGGTCATCAATTTGAAAGAGAGCAAAGGGGCATATGAGAGGGTTTAGATGGAGGGAACAGAAGGAAGAATATGATGTAATTATATTATAATCTCAGAAAATTAAAACAAATAACTTTTAAAAACATGTATGTTTGGTTTTATCAAAAGGGTCTACACTGCAGCTCAGACTGGCCTGGAGCTCACGCTAGCCTGCACTGCTCTCAGACTCAGGGCTCTCTGCTTGCCTCCACCGCAGTGCTCGGGTCCAAGGCAGGACTGAACAGCACAGCTCCACCTTACAAGTCTTAGAACTCAGCTGTTGTTCCCTAGTGTCTGTCACCACGTCACATTTCCTCCCCCAGCCACCAAGTGTTGACCACTGATCACTTCCTTATGGATATCCCATGGACACTTCAACCAACCCAAACCTTCCAGAACCCTCCTGCGCCCCACATTCAGCTGAAATCTGAACATCCTCTTATACATCTCCTTCCCTTAAATTCCTCATGGAACGAATCACTTCAATCCTGCCAATCCTGCCTCCAATCCTGTCAGAACCAACCTCCCCCTCCTTAGCTTCATTTCTTCAAGTGGCTGATAACAAAGCAACAGAGTCAGAGATACCACTCTGGCTATTGGTCCTTAGCAGGTAGATGGGAGCAGCCTAGCAGTATCTATACTGAACTCACTAGATGTTTATGAGCAGCAATGAGAAGGACTGCTTCAAACTGGCTGTGGAGGAAGGAGTGATGGAAGATCACTGAGGAATCCAAGAAACAGAACAGGACAGTTAGGAGAGCTGCAGGAGTGGAGCAGTGTGACTACTCATGTGTCACTAAGCAAGGGAGAAGTGGCAACCAGGACAGAGATAACTAACAGAAGAGGTTACCTTAAATAGAGAAAGATTGTTCAAAGTGATACATGAATTCCCCTTTGAAGTACTAGTAGTATATAATTAAATAGCTTTAACAATCAAAGCATTATTTTTGTCTTGTTGATTGAATTTTTTCTTTGACAGTTTCACACACACATACGTGCACACATATGCTCACACATAGGGACACACATACATGCTGCAAGTATGCGTGCATGTGCACATGAGCGCGCACGCGCACACACACACACACACACACACACACACACACTCATACACACTGCATTCTGTCCACTCTCACCTCTTCTTACCTCCCTCTCACCCCGGCACCATCCATTTTCTACAGGTTCCTTTCCCATGTTCATGCCTTTGTTTTATTTTGTGATCCATTGATTTTAAGTAGGTCCGTATGTGTGGCCATGAATGGAAGTATCCATTGGAACCGAGGGGCTCATGGTTAGTACACAAGTGAAGATAATAATTGTCTCCCTCAGCATCCAACAGCAGCTAACAATTCAGCAGGGAGGGATAGGGTCCATGAGCCTCAACCTAATCCACTTCTGCCTGTTGACACACCCAGTTTAATGTAGGCCTAGTGCCCTCAATTGCAGCTAGTGTGAGATCCAGTTTCAACGCCATGTCCTGCATGGAAGATGACGTCCTGCAGGGAAGATGTCCTAGACTGAAGATGTTGTGAACTGAAGATGTTGCTGACTGAAGGGAGCACCATTTCCCTCCTCTGGCTCTTCTATTCTTTAGACTCTCTCTCTACAATGTCCCCAAGCCTTGGAGAACTTTAAACATCATTTATTTTAAGAATCTTGAGCAATTAACAGACTTTTATTTAATATTCAAAGAACTAATTTTTTAAAAGGCAAGAAAAGAGATAAACCTTTGTCCTAAAAGACTTGACTTCTCTATATAACTATCTCAGAAAGTTTTCGGAAGCTCAGGCTTTCATTTGTTTACTTATTTATACCACCATCATTGGAGCATTTACAAAATCCTGTGAAATGGTTGTAGGTGTCTACAACTGCTATGTATGGAAATTAATACAAAGACCATAGTTCTAAATATATACTTCTGAAATATTACATTACTGACATGATAAACTAAAGCTTCATTTTTATAAATGAGATGATGCTGCATCTAGGTAAAACAGCATTATTCTAACCTATAGCCCATATTGTGCCAATAATCATGTTAAGTTTAGAAACTATAATTTAGAGAGAATGTCACTGATAGTACATTTTGAAACAAAACAGATTTCAATGAGGACAAACTTTATAATACAGAAATACAAACAAACAGAATGTATTCTACAGGATTCTCTATGAAGTTCCATTTTGTACTGAGTAATGTGTAAGCAGGAGACAGGGTGGAAGATGGTGGCTAGAACATGGAAACGAACTGGAGGCATGAAAAGCGGGAAGCCCATCAGCTGGAGCGGGCAGGCAGCAGAGAGCACAGATTCCATGGAGTGGGTGATGATGCCCAGTGCCCAGGATGCAGGCCGGCCCCCCTGTTGTGCTCTGGCCATCAGCTGCTAAATGCCAAGAAGACACGCTGCAACAACCAAGCCTTATCAACCAGGCCAGGTTCTACCCCACCTGAGCTGATAACACACAGAACTATCCAAACAACATTTGCATATTTGTGTAATTATTTTCTTTTTTTTTTTTTTTTTTTTTTTTTTTCGAGACAGGGTTTCTCTGTGTAGCTTTGCGCCTTTCCTGGAGCTCACTTGGTAGCCCAGGCTGGCCTCGAACTCACAGAGATCCGCCTGACTCTGCCTCCCAAGTGCTGGGATTAAAGGCGTGCGCCACCAACGCCCGGCTGTGTAATTATTTTCTAAGGTTAATTAGCTCCTGTAATGCCTTTTGCCCTTTGAGACTGCTTACAGTGACAGGTTCACATATTTTCTGAACCACTGCCAAATCTGACAGCTTTTTCTTCAGCTAACCTGTTGCTACAAAGTTATGAAATGAGTGACCCTATAATATATACTTTATACTTACAATTCATTTAAAAAGCAAGATAAAAATGTAATAAATAGAAAGATCTCTTAAAATTCCCATTTTAAAAGTCAATACATAAAGGCATTACACACTGGAAGAGTATTAACATTTCCATGACAACAATCTAATATAAAAATTTATAACT